TACTTAGGACAGGCTTGAATCTGTGCCACACACCATATGCTGAGCCTTTCATTTCAGCTCTAGGTGCTTTTGAGAATGGTGACCTTGATGACTCTTTTTACCCACACAGCTTTATAGAACTGTCTTGTTACATCCTGTGGGGATGCAACTTCTAAGAGGTGAAAGCAAACCAGAATCAGCTGTTATTGTATGTGGAGTTGCTTGTTGTACAGGGCTGATTGGTTATAAATTGGACACTGAGTAGCACAGACCTCTGCAAAACATCCAAGTAGTTATGGAGCAATTTGCATCCTTTCACAGATCTCACAGGAAAGCTGTGAATCTCTAAGCCTGGCCCCAATGTGCAGAGGTGTATGCAGGGGCTGTGAAGTGGCGTGAGCAAAATCAAGTGCTAAATTTGGGCACCTCCCCTTGGGCAGCAGTGATTCAAAGCCAGAAAGTTGTCATGGCCCTCCTTTGTGTGGTGCACATGAAAATGGCCAGTGGTAGTGGAGGACTATATGGGGCAGTGCCTAGCTGTTGGTAGCAGCTTGGTTCCTTCTGCAGCACAAAATAATGTATAAGGACCATAGAAAGGAGTCACAGCTTAGCCCTCTCCTCTCCTTCTCTTACTTCTGTGACATGGGATGACCCTCCACTGCTGCCAGACCTCAGCTTTGGAAGGGTCACAATGAGCTTGCAGCCCTGGGCAATGTCTCTGGTTGCTCCCCTTGAAAATCTGCTCTGCCTCACAACTGTGGTTTTTTTTTTTTTTTTTTTTTTTTTTGGTTTGTTTGTTTTGTTTGTTTGTTTGTTTGTTTGTTTGTTTGTTTGTTTGTTTTCTTTTTCCTGTCAACGCAAGACTGCATTGGTTTTACACATTGACCTGCTGATTGCTTCTGACTTTGTTTGAAGTTAGCTGTCACACTACCTCTGCTTGGTGTACTTAAGCCCCAAACCAGCAAGGGAAGCCACAGGTGCCCTGTATTTAAAGAACAATGGACTGCCAGATTGCCACCAGACCAAGCAGCAGCTCAGGTCACGTGGAGACATGAATCACAGAATCACAGAATTTCTAGGTTGGAAGAGACCTCAAGATCATTGAGTCCAACCTCTGACCTAACGCTAACAGTCCCCACTAAACCATATCCCTAAGCTCTACATCTAAATGTCTTTTGAAGACTTCTAGGGATGGTGACTCCACCATTTCCCTGGGCAGCCTGTTCCATGTGTTAGCATGTCTGTCAAATGCAGGACGTATGACATGAAAGGCTTCCTGGCTGTAAGATTAAAGGCAGTATGAGGTCTGTCGTAAAGACTGCTTGTACAATACTAACCCATCAGAAAAATTTGCACAAATGTAAGGCAATGGCATGTGTCCATGCTGGTTGGCTACTTTGCGTAATGGGGCTGCAGAATTTCTAATCTGGTGCAAACCAGTCAAAGTGTGATCTGTGTGGAGAGAGGATAGAGGATTGTGGTATCCTCTCAGTGGCATAAAAACAGAACTAAAAGCTTTTTACACATCTTTTGCCAACTAATAGTTATTTATTTCCCCATCCCCCAACAAAAATAATTCTTCTAATATTTCCAAAAAGGATGCATTATGATAATTTTTGTGTTTTTCTCTTCTTCCATTTACTGTAGGATTGCAAAATCAGTGCCAGGAGTTCACTGTATATCGGGTTTTAATGCTTAGTATTTCATAGATTTTTACAAGTGCTGGCAGCAGTCTAAAATAAAGGGAGAGGAAATCTCATGACTTGACATCTGAAATGTTCCCAGACTTCAAAGAAGTTTCAGCTGGCCAAGCAGCTTCATTTCAATAACTCAGAAGGAAGGTGTAAGGAAACCTGGGAGTTCCCATCAGGGATAGAACGATGGAGAGCATGAAAGAAAATAAATCCCTCCTGGTAGAGCTGGGGTTGAAGTGTCAAGGAGCTGGAGTGCTAAAGGGGCCTGTGCAAAATTTAGGCTGAAGTGTATGCAGGATATATTTGGCCTTAGCCAACTCTGAAATAATAAAGCAACAGTCAGGGCTGGGAGATAAGGAAGAATAACCTTTGAAACAGATGAAAATGTTGCTGAATTCTTTCTTCTTTCTTCTTTCTTTCTTCTTTCTTTCTTTCTTTCTTTCTTTCTTTCTTTCTTTCTTTCTTTCTTTCTTTCTTTCTTTCTTTCTTCTTTCTTTCTTTCTTTCTTTCTTTCTTTCTTTCTTTCTTTCTTTTTTCCTTTCTTTCTCTCTCTCTCTCTCTGTCTCTCTCTGTCTCTCTCTCTCTCTTTCTCTCTCTCTCTTTCTTTCTTTCTCTCTCTCTCTCTCTCTCTTCCCTTTTTTTTTTTTTTGGGGGGGGGGGGGGGGGGGGGGGAGAGGGCGGGGTTATCTATTCTTTGCAAATAATCCAAGAGAAGAAGGTTTTGTTGTCTTTCTACTTCATGAGAAGATGGCAGCAGTCTTCTGTACAGAAAAAAAAATAATGTCTGAATGCCCAGTTCTCTTGTGAATCTGACAGTTCAGCACTGACCAGGAGTGGGCTGGATTTGGCAGAAATGCCACTGGTGGTGGGCATTACCCTGTGTGTATGGGGACAGCTGCTTTCCAGGGCACACGTGCCTTCCAAAAGCACAGACATGGCAAAGGGCAGCAGAAAAGTAGCAACATGCCAGCTTTTCCTTTACGTGTTGGAGGGCAACAGAGCTGTGTAGCAAAGAGAGGTGCAGCCAAATGCTGTCTTTCAAACTCTTCTGCATGTTAATGAAAATATCTAATGCATTACAGATGCACAGTGTGCAGCTGGACAGCATTGCTGCTTACTCTTCCCTGCCAGAGATACTCTCTCAATTACTCTGCGGAGCCTCTTAAGTGAACTATCCTCGGTTCTTTGTCATGCTGTACAACAGGTTAACTGTACACCATTAAACATTTTCCCTGGGGAGGGACTCCACAGACAAACCATACCAAGGGACTCTTCCATAAAAAGGAGCAATCAACTGTAACAAGTGAGTGATTGCAAAAGGCTCCTGGTGGTGGCACTGGTAGTGGTAGTCATGATAACAGGAGAGAAAGCTGGTTAAACCATCTTCCAGGAGTGTGAAAAACTGAAGGCTGTCAAGGGAATTGGAAGTAAACAGGCTCAGCCACAGCTTCGCTGTTTTATAGTGTAGCAGAATTGCCAGTAACTTTTGAGAGCCTGAGAGCTGTAGATTATCTTGGTGTTGCAATTTACTCTTAGACTTGAGTTTTCTGTACCCCTGACTTTCCCTGGTGCTAATGTAGTTAACCCCTGTGTACCAGGCTGACTAGAACCACAGCTGCCTTTCCAGCTGCCCACTCAGAAGCTTGAGGTCATCTAGAAATCAGGGGTTCTGGGTGTAAAAATACCTTTGGTAAAGATGCACGCTACTATAGTAGGAGGTTAAGACATCAAACCTCAGAAAGGATCCAGTCCTTTGAAATGACATGTAACTTCTAGAGCTGCTTGAATTTCTTCCCATTCTCAACTGGGGGATTTATCTGCAGTATATTTTATAGCATTTTGTACAGCTACAGATTGCTTTATTTCCTTGCATAAATAACAAAGATCTCCTGTATGTTTCTTATTTTTCTGTTTTGAGCTGTAAGAATTGCAGGAAAAACGAAATTTCTGAGTACATATACTTGCTATAAATGTGTATTGTAGATTGGGAATAATAAGAACTAACTTTTTATAGACCTCTCTCATTAAAAGTCACCTTCAGAAAACACTGCTGCTCCTTGCTTATAATCAAACGACACCTCATAACCACCTAACCATTTTTAATATCCCCTAGACTCTATTGTATTATGCCAAGGCTCAGACACTGTCTAGCTAGTCAAGGAAAAGAGTATACCATCATATTTAAAAGCAGTTATTGGGACAGGTTTTACAGGCAGTGGGCTAAGACAATTCAGAAACAATTGCTTATGTGATAGTTTGAGGATTTGTCCCTGTCAAACAGTTAATATTGCTTTAATACATGAAGTAGGCTGTATAAGACAGCAATAATGAAAAATGTCAGGAAAGACAATATCAATTGTTATTCAACATCCACATCAAAGATTACTTTTTTGTCAGTAGCTTTCAGAAAATGTATTTTCCATCAGATCTGATTGCGTTCCTCTTTGAAGTGCTCCATCCTCCCGGTAGATTTAATGTGACATCTAGGCACTTTTTAGTCCCTGGGCCTCTGAGGCGATTCAAAGAGGCACAACAAGCCATCACAGGTTTATCCTCAAAGGCCGACACTGTCTGTCTGATTTATTGTAACTTTAAGAATCATCTCCAGCAAAGCATGAGCCTTTCTACCCATCCGCAGCCTCAGACTTTTATCAATTCATTTGTATGCAGCCTGTACATTCTGGAACTGAGAGCCCTATAGCCACTCATGGAAAATGCATTACCTGCTACTAATCCTTTTTATCTTTAAAGTCTGTATTTTTTATGTATAAGTCATTTTGGGTTATCATAAAATATACATAATTCTCGCCCCAAAAAAGACAAAATGAAAAGAGAATATATAATAAGTTATGAGCTTGCCGTGTCCTTATCACCAAGGATTCTAAATAAACAGCTCTCTTTATGTAAACACTGAGGGATATAAAACTGTGATTACTTTCAATAGGGAATAGGAATGCTTCCATTTTTGTTCCTCGTTTCAAAGCAAAACAGTGAGATGAATCATTTTAAACATGTTTGGGAGCACTTTTATTTTCCGCTTCATTGGTTTGGGGGTCTGACAGTTGTAGGGCTAAGTTGCCTGTCAAACTTCTTCTGTCATAAACTACAGATGTCCAGAAGTACCTTATTGTTTCAATATTTTGCTTCAAATTCGTGGTTAACCATAAGTTAATGGCATCTGTTCTTCCTTCCTTCCTTCCTTCCTTCCTTCCTTCCTTCCTTCCTTCCTTCCTTCCTTCCTTCCTTCCTTCCTTCCTTCCTTCCTTCCTCCCTCCCTCCCTTCCTCCCTTCCTTCCTATTTAATTGTTTTCCATTAATTCAAGATGTATTTGAAGCACCTGCAGTATCTCCTGGCATACTGTGAAAAATGTTGCTATCTCTGGGTGGATGAGACAGTCCTGGGAGCAGGGCTTTCTGTGCAGGTGTGGAGTTTGCTCACTGTAAGTTCCGTGCATTATTTTCTTAAGCAGGCTTCTTCTGTGAATATTGCTGCCAATAACTTCGTGAGACAGGAGAACTATTTTTTTTTGATTTATTTTGGATACAATATTAATCCTGGATTAAACTTTTCAAAAATTAAACCTTACCTTCATCCATTCATGTCTGTCCTGTATCTTATCTTACATGTATACATATATACATCTGTATATATCTGTATATATATATATACACACGTGTATAAATCCAAGCCCTTGCATGTGTGCATGTATGTGTATGAATAAGGTTTTTCTCATCGTGAATAATTGAAAGCAGTTACTGGGACAGGTTTCACTGACAGTGGGCAAAGACGGTTTAATTGACAGTAGGGAAAGTGCGTGTTCTTGGATTCAATACAGCCTGAAACCATAAAAGACTTTAAAGGGCCAATTTTAACCCCAGACCACTGGAACTTAAGAATCTAGCTGGAACTAGAAATCTATACCTTTTTGCAGGTACAGGTCTATATGTCCTGAGTGAGTCAGTGGCTCTGGTCAGTGAATCTGGTCTCGTTCAAACTCTTTCTGTACCTATGAAGAGAAACAAATGTTTAACATTATACACTTACTAACAGATATTACATTAACTAATTAAATTCACAAAGTTAAAGCAAGATAAAATATAATGGAGAATAGAACTGGGTCTATTTGTTAGGTGATATGCAAAAAACTAACACTTGGGGAATGTAAAAACATTTATTTATTTATTTTTTAACATTTGGCGTTAATACCTGTAGATAATTTTAATGAATATTTTTGCAATCTAATGGACAACATACTAAATTATTGATATAGTGAATAAGGACAGCTGTACAATACTGCTAAAATACCGCTGCAAGCAAAATCATTGCGTATATGACTGGCAACAATTTCTGGTGATGAACTAACAGTATTCCTTATAAAGTTACTTGGCTAATGCTCATAAAACTCAAGGTATAACATGAATTCTATGTAAGGCACTAGTCTGAGAGAATTAATGATGTATATCTTCATGTACTCTTATTGGTCCTGTTGACTTCAAGGGGACTTCACAGCCTACATGATGAAGCTTGTCTGTTTGCAGGTTTAGAACTGAATTTTCCTTGATAGTCATTGGACATCTGGGACTGAATTCAACAAATGAAAGCCAGCCTTTCAGGAACTCTCTAATTTACTGGCAAGTACATAATAGAAAATCGGGTCAGGTTCTGCTTTTCTTTCCTGAGAAGTCTCTGCAGAACTGCATTCCCCATTAAACAGTTGTCCTTTGCCAGCTGTTCCCTCCATCAGGACTTGATTTCTAAACTTGTATCACAGTGTGGTATGCGCTAAGACAGGATATATGTTTGAGGGCTCCTTTTTTGTCTTTAAAGCATGCTGCAGAATAGAAATATATGGCTAGGAAAAGGATATTACTGCTTTTTTCCAGAAGTCATGCTTCTTTTTAAACTTGATAAACATTAAGTACTATCACAGCCCATTTATTTCTCTAAGTCTGGTTTGTCCTCTGAGTTTGATTTTGCTCTTCTATCACCAACTTTTTCCTTTGCAACTTTTTTTTTTTTTCAACTTTTGCATATTAATTGTTTCCTCTTGTTATTTAAAATTATGAATTATAAATAATTATTCAAATAAAATTACCATATTTATCACTGAAATTTGGACTTCTAGTATCATAACTTTCTCTATGTATTGTTTTATTGTTTCTTATTTGTACTATATTGCTGTTTCTTATTTGTACTATTTCGATAATGTCCTTACCTCTGGGTTGTGTCCAGATGTGTTCAGGTGTACAGTGGCACCAGAGAAACCTGTTGCACAGTGTATGGTTTTACGACAGGAGAACACAGCAAGAGATGATTTACTGTAACAGGAACTCTAGGGCACACACAAGTAAGAGGTATCTTTATAACTCACTAGCCCCAAATACTTTCTTTGCCATAGAAAGACAATTAAAATTCCTGTCCAGCCAACCCTGAAATAAATGGAAAGACACTTATCTGCACTGAAAAATGGATCAAGCCATAAGAGGGCAAATATGTGTTGAGATAGAGAGTGCATTCCTGATCGAAAGCTACTTCCCTTTTTTAAACACTTCCTGAACCTCTGTAGTGCAGGAGCAACGGAGTGTTTATGCTCATAGCACTGATGGACCTTCTAGAAGCACACTACATGGAAGCAACAGTGAATTAGTACAGCCAAAGCCAAACACTGTTCCCTGTGCAAGTTAATTGTAGGCAAAGTAACTTGTCATAGCAAGTTTCCTACACTGTCTTATTAATGAACCTTGGCATTCCCTTAGGGGGATCTTATACAAGGGTGAGAGAAGAGTTCAGGTTTTGTATCTCACTTTGCCTCAGATTCTATGTCTTGTCATCTTTGCCTTAGCTTTTCTCCACTTAGATTGTTGCAAACATATGAATTATTGTTGGTAATAAGAAGAAATTAATTTCATGAACATATAGTTTATTTAGGAAGTGCTTTCACTAATCTTGTAACACGACGTACCTGATCTTTCTCATACCAGGCACTGTCTACCAGTTTGTCTGAAGAAGGAAATATACAGAAACATCTGTGTTTTTAAGCACAGATTAATAACCTTTATTTTGCCTGGGGCAGAAATTTAAACAAAGAATACTCTTGCATACCAAAGCCCAAACCTTTAAAAGTAATATAATTGACAGGATGTTAAACAAGATGCTGCCACTGAAATTTGGGAATATTTATATATATATATTTAATAAATTTCCTATGACAATAAGGGAAACAAATTCCTAAACCGACAATGGCAATGCTATGGATTTTGCTAATGACTTTATAGTCTATGAAAAAGCATGTGTTCTACTTTTAGCTAAAAAGAGAGTGAAGCCTCTTTTTTAAAGAAAGAGCTTTAATATGTTGTCTGCATTTTCAGTTCTGTAATGTTAGACCGCTTGAGATCCTCATGACTATGCTCCTTGAAGCTGACCGATTAAACAGGATGGGATGGTGGAAATGTTAAAATCCCTCTGGACTCTGGTTAGGGGAGGACTTCCTAGGCAACATGGCCAGGCAGGGGTGACTGTGCAACTTAATGGCTGCTTAATTACTCTAAGGTTGACTTTTTAATTTAATTTAATTTATTATTATTATTATTATTATTATTATTATTATTATTATTATTATTATTATTATTATTATTATTATTATTATTATTATTATTATTATTATTATTTTGGACAGGATCAGCAGGGTACAAATATGCTTCAGAAGCATCAAAATTCCCTGGCAGCTCTGGTGCAAAATTTCTCTGCTAACCACTGAAAAGCAAGATGCAGGAAATTGGCCATCAGTCGTAGTAGGGAGAAAGTGGTTTTGTTGCCAAAGGTCCATTCTCTTTGGATTTCTCTTTTTTTAAGACGGATTATTTAAGAGATTGTGATGTTTTAAAAGGATGTACTGACATTTTCAGAATCTAACTATATACCCTTTATGTGACCAGAACTGCTCTTCGGTGATCTATATTCAGTTGTTATCAATGCTGTCTAGTTGCTAAATTGCCACTAAACAGAGATGGCAACATTTTACACAAGTTGGAGTCTTATCTGGGAGACAGATTGCAGCAGGATCCATGGTACTATCAAGAACCAACATTAATCTGCAAGTAGCTTCTTCTGTTTGTGGTAATGTGGATGTATCAGTTGCATATTCATTTTGCCTCCAAGTTCTGGGAGTCAAAAAAACTTGTTCCAGCTTGGGAAGGCAGATGACCTCTCTGATTAAGGCCAAATTTTGTCAGGCCTAGGAAAAAAAAAAAAAAAAGAAAAAGAAAAAAAGAACCCACCTGCATACTAAAAAGACGGAAAATCCCTGTATAACAAGAAAGACCAATAAATAAATATATAAATAAATAAATCACATCCCTTTCTATCCCAAACAAATTTAAGGAGTTGATTTAACGGAAATTCCCTGTTAAGTTTTGGAAAGAGCTATGTTCAGACATATCCAAAAGTTTTTACCAGTCAAAACGGACATACTTCCAAGTTACCCAAGTCCAGAATGATACAGGCAAAAAGAACCAGACTGCCTTTGCTGGCAGGATCATTTGGTGAAAGATTGAGCTCAGTGCTTAGATTCCAAAGAGACAAGAATGTAAAAATACAAAGCAAGGGAGCTTTTGAAAGCCCAATTAAAAAAAAAAAAGTCATAATGTCAATGATTGCCTAGATTATTATATAACTGACAAAATAAAAGGTGATGTTTGTTGTTGGAACATTTGTATGTGTTCTCCAAATGTGCTGGAATAATTTGCAGTGGCATATACACTTGGATCTACACTATTTTTAGACAGAGTTCTGAGTGAGAAACAATACGAAAACTGCTCAAATCCAAGAGCAGACGACGAAGCACCAAGGCTTGCCTTGTCCTTTGGGAGCAGCTGTGACAATTGTTCTTTCCAAAATGCAGGAGCTGCCCTTTGACATTTGGCCAGGGTTGGCCAAGTGCATGGGACTTCTAGGCCAAACCTTATCCTGACACATATTGTTCTATACATAATATCCATTTTATACACTGTTACTGAAGGTCCCCAGGGAGTTGATAAAAGTGTGCTTCTAACCGTTTTGCACTGCTGCAAAGGCACAATTCTGAATTGGACTAACATCTACTGTACAACACCAGCAGTACAAAGATTATAAAATTCAGTTGCTGAATTTCACTTAATGTGTGTGGCAGACAACTAATAAGTCTATTCCTGTACTTACACAAACCTATACCAGACTATATGGGATTTGGATGGAGAAGATTTGCTGGATATCAATTTGGACAAAAAAATACTTGGGTGAGAGGAGAGGGATGGAATATGTGAGTTAAGTATTTGGCTGGAAAAGCCTTAAAAATATGAGCAAAGAAAGCATATTGTTTAATGTCTCCTGCAGCAGAGAAGAACTTCATGTAAATAAACTGCATTTTATCAAAATACCAATCACTCCTTTTAAGATAAAATAAAGCCTACAAGGCTTTGATTTTAGCTTAGTCCTTCAGCAAAAGTGGTTGAAAATAATAACTAAAGAGTGACAATGACTGGCTCTGATCACGAACAGAAACTCTCAGGTAAGAAAAACAGAAGTATTGCATGGAGACAGTATCAGAAATATACCCTAGATTGACCTGGCCTTGTCTGGGTTCCTGTTTTTATGTATTGTGAGTGGAAAACTCTTGTAGATGGGAAGAATGCTGTATTCAGCCTGTTTATTTAATACTCAACAGCCTTTGCAGAATTGCTGAGAAATATTGTGAAATATGTGACCTGATCTGGAAGTTGATGATTTCCTATATGTTCTCCCTACCTTGTTTTTCCTATTTACACTTCTTGTTTTGTTTTGTTATGTTTTGTTCCCCAGGAGAATGTAATTTTGAGCTAGAGAGAAAAATTCTTCCCTTGGAGATGCTCAGAAGGTGGCAGCTTAGGTAAACATAGTATCTTTTATTTTTCCAAATGCAAACTGTTTGTGAATTCATTTTCCCTCAAGATCAAATGTGGATTTTTTCCTTGAGCATCCTGGTTTTATAAACTAGGGTTAAGTAGCATTCCGTCTTACACTGTTAGCATCAGCTGATTATTTTTTGCTAAACACACTGATAAATTTTAAGATATTGGCTTCTGACAAGTGAGGCTTTAATAAAGTGCTATTTTTCAAAATATTGCAAGTCCCATGTATCCTAGGGTGATGTAATAAAGACAAATACCCGACCAATAATGAAAAGCTAGGTAAATGCTAATGTTTAATGTCTATTGTATGCAGGGAAGTACATTAAGGCAGATCTAAGAGACACTTTAATGGATTTAACATTAACAATCAGACCTGGACTTAGTATAAATCAAATACCACCACATTTCAGCCTAATGTACACCCACACATTCATTAACACTGTTCAATGCAGATTATAAATATTAGTGAAGAAACATCCAGCTCTTGAAGAACCTTTCCACATACCCAGCAATAATTGAATAATAATGATGACAGTCTTATTTTTATGAATCACTATAACTTATTGATTTGCACTTGGGGCTTAAGAGAGCTTTCTCAGCCACTATGCAACAGGAAATAGTTATAAGCTGTTAAAAAAAAAAAAGAAGAGAGAGAGAGAGAACAGTGGGAAGGTGATAGAAGTAACATTTGGTATCAGATAATTGCAGATGCAATCAAGATGTAATGATAGGGTCCCCTAAATTACAAATAAGGTTGTAAAAAGTAAATTAATTACATCTCCTCACATTTGTGTTCATGCATACACACTCCTTTGAGAAGAAAGAAAATTATCTATTTTGCCTTCAAAATAGAAAAAGAGAGGAAATACTTGTAAATATTTTATGAATTGATTATCATAATAGTAAAAGGAGAGAAAGGTGGACTTTACCTCTCTCTGTGGTATATAACTTCTAAATAACATGAGCAATGCAGGGTTCTGGAAATGCGTAATCTATTACTATAAAAAAGAGCAGAACTCTCCCATCTTCTTCTTGTAAAAAATGGACCAGCATTTGTTAGGGAGCTTTTTCCTATCTTGTATCTCAAAGTGGTAGAAAATTGAATAGCCTGTAGAGGTATGAAGATAATACTAGCATACAAGTCTGTTTTGAAATAGGAGATGTATGTGTATGAGTGTGAGCATTATCGTTTATTTTTCTTTGTTGTTTTTGGAAAATACAAAAGATCTAATTTCACAATTAGAAAAGACAAACTGGAATTTCTTAAACATTTATTTTACTACACCAATATTGTGCTTATTGAGACTGATATACCTAGAAAGTCACCATGTATTAAGTTAACTTGAGACTGTGTTCTTCTGTTTATTTAAAAAGTAAATTTACATAATTAATGCTAGGATTTTTTATTTATGTATTTATTAATGCTAACATTTAATGGTGTAACAATTACTTTGTTTCACAGGACTTCCTCTCCCTTTAATGATCTAAAATTTGCATAGCTTGTCTCAGCCTAATTTACTGAAATGAGTTTTCATCAAGGCCAGATTCTGAATGGGATTCAGATATGCAAAAGGATTTTTGACATTCAGAAGTACACCATAAAGCTCCAGGCTGATGGAAATTTAGGGAACTTCATTAATAGGCATAATTACATTACAGCAATATTTTTTTGGACTCAGGTGTCCTGCTGGGAATTCTGAAATAAGTAAGTTTGTAACATAATCCAATGAAACTTAGGTGTTTAGGGGAGTCTTAACTATGAGTAAAAACGTCAAAAGTACTATTTTTATATGGTTCCTAATTGTTTTATAGTATGTGATCATAAAACCACTTGCTGCCAAGTCCAATTACAAAATGAACTGGAATATGAATTACAGCATTATTGATTGGGTTAATGCAGATTGCAACAGTTGTTATATATCACTATACAAAATGTTCATACTGTAAATATGCTTAAAAGGAATGACCGTCAAAATACCACAGCTGTGGGCACTCCATCAGTTGTTTTCAGTTGCTTTGTGAGATAACATAGAGAATTAACCCTACGTGAGGTTGCTTTTCACCAAATGAAATGAAACACCTGGTGAAACCAGAGTAGCAGAAACCTTGTGAAGTTCCTCTAATAGGGCACCTGGGAGGCATCCTCTTAGGTCAGAAGATTTGAAGGACTAAAAAGTTAATAGAGTAGAGTAACCCAGACATTTGCGACATGAGAAGATGCCAAAAGTTGAGCAGGTAGAGTGGCTACTAATATTATTTGCCTTCTTTCAGCAGCTTTAGGACTTTAGCTGGCTAAATCCTTAGGCAACTGCCTGTAACAGCAAGAAGAAGAACTTTATTCTGTATCAAGTGCCATTCTGTTCTTTCTGAAAAAGTCATTGAGAGATCTTTGTGCTGAGCAGCAGATGTACAGCAAACCAACATATGGAGTAGCTGCTTGCATAGGGGTACCCCCACTTGCACAGTGTGGGAGTAACACTGCAAATCCCATTTAAAGAAGCTGTATTCAAGGACACACAGTACTAACACTTTTTCCCCCATTGTGGTTAAATACTCTTACTTGTATGAATTTGACAGTAATAAAGAAATCAATTTTTGGTAAAATTTGCAAATTTAACATGGTTGGCTGTGCAAGTTTGTATAACAAAATATATTTGTGGGATTACTGTAAAGACTGTGGACACGGAAATAGAGCAGCAGCAACTTTAGGGAAGTTCCTCCTATAGGGTGTCTAGAATGCCTCCTCTAATGTTAGATTGATGTAAACTACATAATTAACCATGGTACTCTCTCCCAGTTTACTGTGTCTGTTCCTGGATGTGAATAGAATAATTTTGGTAAAGGAACGTAGGAAGGTTTGTTCAGCCCTTCCTTTTTTCTGTGCCTAGTGAAATGAACTTCACTTGTCTTGTTTTCAGCAATAAGACTTTTTTCAGCAATAAGAAATGAGTGGGAGATACATGTCCACAGTTCCACCACATACAGGGAGGTGTCAAAAGAGATCTAAAATACTATATAAGAACCATAAAGATTATCTTCGATTTGTTCTGGGTGATTTCTGTAGTCATTAGGAGTTCCCACTGAAAACAGGAAGTGTGGGCTGTGTATGGAGAGTTGACCCAAGCAGCAGCCAAACATCCACACAGCCGCTCCTTCACTCCCCTCACCAGTGGGATGGGGAAGAAAATAGAAAGAAGGCAAGATGACTCACAAATCAAGGCAAAGACAGTTTAAGAGGTGAAGCAAAAGCTTCACCAGGCAAAATAAGGATATCACTCACCGCTTCCTGTGGGTAGCTCCTTGGGTCCAGCCACTCCTTGGAAAGCAGGGCCTCAGTATGTGTGGTGGGTGTTTGGGAAGACGAACACCATAACCACAAATGTCTCCCTTCTTCTACCTTTCCTTGAGCTTTTATGGCTGAGCATGCCATCGCTGAAAGTTGGAAAAAGTCGTGCAAAAATTGCTGCCTGAGGTGAAAAGTGGCTTTTGAGTGAAAACAGTGGGACAATATTACTGTCCAGCTTCCTCTGATAAAGATGTAAGAAAGCTATAATCCTCAGCTGCCTTAGCTCTACAGATAGGTTTTTGTTTATGACAGAGTAGCTGCTTCACTGGCTTCCTTTAAAAAATATTCTGCTAACACAATCCAACTCAGATTTCTACATATAAATTGACTCTTGTTTGAATAAGGGGTTTGTCAAAGGGGAGCTGTGTAGCAGGGCCTCTGCTGCTTGGGCAATGCACTAGTATAGTGTACTATATAGAAGGAAGCCCCTTCCTTCTGCCAGGAGGCATCAGAAATTGCTTCAACTGTAGCAGGCACTGAGACTACTTTAGAATTTTCAGATGAAAAGATAAAGCCACCCTTTACATTGCAGTGTAGCATATTAGATTCGGAAGCAAGAAGTTATTTTCCACCTCTGTGCCAGGATCATGTGTTTTTTTGTCTTTATTTATTTATTTATTTATTTATGATTTGCATGGGATTTTTTTACTGCATGGATTTAGTACTTAGCATGCAAGGTGATCTCACCTGTGCCATGTGTCCTTTTGTGTGTTTCTATGGCATTTGCCATTTAAAACTGAAAGCAACTAACTTTTGGCAACCCAGTCTAGTGGAAGATATCCCTGCCTATGGCAGTAGAGTTGGAACTAGATGGTCATTAAGATGCCTTCCAACCCAAATCAATTTATCATTCCTTGGTATGATATGGGATATTGCCCTGGTGAGTTGGGGTCAGCTGTTCTGGCTCTGTCTTCTCCTTGCTTATTGCTACATGTTTTTTGAGGTGGGTAGCTCCTTTTACAATGTATTCCAACTTTTTTGGAGTTAGGAATAAGAAACAGACTTTTTCATATGCAGTGTACAGTCATTCCTGTACACTCACAATGCTCTGTTGGAGGCTATCACACAATGCTTCTGTTCACTGACAATATGTTACACTGTACTATCCCTACTGCAGTTTTCAATTGCTTGAAGCCAACAGTAGTGTCTAAAGTTGCAAATCCAAAAGCAACAGGTATTATTCTGTCTGGAAACCATGATAGGTAGAAGATAAACACTGATCAAGGGGGTTTATCACACTATCAGTATAATGTATTAAGACTTTACAATAATTAAATCTTTAATTATTTGCAGGCAGTTTAAAATCACTGTAACCAGAGAACTGATGACAGAGGGCTCAATGGCAGGGAGGCTGTTCTCTTGGAGGGTAAAATCAGAAGGTATTTCTGAATCTGAATAATTGAGGGCAATTTGCAACTTCTGGCCAGCAGAGATGAAAAAGATGGGTGGCTTGGAGAGCAAACTGCCCCATGTGAATCAAGGTATATTAAATGTCTCCTACAGACCAAGTATGTTGTATCACCTGAGTGCTAAATGTGGATCAGGAGTATCCTGATCGTTTCAGTGATACACTGACAGAAAAACTTGATGTGTTAGTTCTGGTCTTTTTCTGTTTTCAGACATAAGTGCACACATTATGGGATTTCATTACATGAACATAATGAGTAGATATAGACTTAATTGTTTTTTTTCCTCCAAACAAAAGGGAGTATTTTATTTTAGAAGATGGGTAAAAAATATAAAAATGAAAGGAATTAATGCAAAGTTATGCTTTTTCTTTTGGACAGGTATGATGAACAAAGGGTCACAACTCATTAAGCCCATGGAACAAAATACCTGCTAATCAAAGTTTTTAAAAAGAAAATAAATTATGCTAACAGGCTCCTCCAATTCTGAAGCTCCTGACTTATTGCTCATCAGACATTCCTCTGAAAATCAAGGGCTTCCTGTGAATGAATAGAATAAGACAGTAGTTTAATTCTCACTTTTCTTTGTTTTGTAAGTTATAGTTGGCCATTAGAATGCTATGGAATGTGGAACTGTTTTCCTGAGCTCTTTTCTGGAAGACCACATGTTGTATATGGCTCCAACAAAGAAAGAAAAACAGTTAAGGTTTTAGGTATGTTGGATGCCAGCTTTTGGGTTGTACATGTTGCTACTATCTATAATAATTTTTGGCAACATTTTAGCCCAGGTAATCTTGCAGACTAATATTAACATTAGTATTCTTTCTTGCATTTTAAGCTTGTAATAAACCACCAACTGGCAAAAAAGCCTTTCACTCATTTAACTTAACAGAAAATTTCAGTTGTTGAGTATGGTTTTAAATATAATCAGAAAGAGCCTTATTATTAATTTGATCATTGACAAGTAGGTCTTTCAGAGGAGATAAAACCTGGAAAGCTCTCTGCTGATGTTTGCAGAGAACAGTATGCCACAGGCAAGACCAAAAAAACCCATACTGTCCAACTGGTCATATACAGGTGAAATTTCTTCTAGAGTGAGGTCCATGGTCTCAAATCTGTTGAGCTTTTGACTTATTGTCTGGAAATGCCAGAATGTGTGCCAGTTACAATAACATCTGGTCATTGCTGCCTTGGGACTAAAGGTATAGAAATCCTGTCCTACAACCAATTCTCTCAGAATGATGCTGTTTCCCTGTTAGCTATATTAAATGTTCCCTGTTTGCTATATTAAGATTTATTTTATTTTATTTTATTTTATTTTATTTTATTTTATTTTATTTTATTTTATTTTATTTTATTTTATTTTATTTTATTTTATTTTATTTTATTTTATTTTATTTTATTTTATTTTATTTTATCTTTTTTAACACATGAGTCTTAATGCAAGCTGATTACTGTATTATAAAAAATATTCTCAATAGGATAAAGATCTATACACACACATATATAGAACCACTTTAATTTTTCTATGGATCCTGATAAAACCTATTTCATAGATAAATTTCATTTGCAGAGCTCATGAAAAAAAGGATTTTTGTAAAAAAAAATATATATGTTACCTGTGTCAGGCCTATATTCCCTTTTCCTTATGTCAGCAAAGCTAGGAGGGCAAAACAAAACAAACCAGCTGTTTTGTGCTATACCGGCAATGTACAGTAGCTGTAACTTTCATTTACATAGGAGTTTAACCTGGGGGGAAAAGCTTCTTTGTGTTACTGCAGCAATGTAAAGCAGCCAGACCAACTCTGGACTAAATATGCCTTCCAAAAGTAAGCATTATTTGCAGCAGGTGTTTTCAATATATCCTGATCAAACTTGCTTGCTAAGGTGAACATTTTTATTTGAGTAAAAAAAAAAAAAAAAAAAAAGCGGTATGTCTCCATCATCTAGTACTTTAGTGGTAAATAATACAGTGGGTAAAATTGGGTCCTCAATATATTAGAGTAGATGGTAGTGTGGAAACTTTCTATAATTGAAATCAAGAAGAGAAAAACTCCTTGTTTACCTGTGTTTGTTCTTAAGTATAGTGCTCCCTCCCTTTTGGGGTACAGTCCACTAAAATTCAGGGCAGGCAATACCTTGCAGGAGCTCCCTTTAAAACTAACTCATTTTTAATCTGTTGGCTCATGAACGATGGGATGGTAGGCTCATGAATTATGGGGATGAAATAAGCACTGAACATCAGGCTGTTTTTCTGCAAGACTGGACTGGCTGTGCCACAAAAAGGTCTGTCCACTGCAGCAGTTCATAGCTTCTTCCTAGGCTAGGGCTTTCTCCAACATATAACCATAAAGTGGGAGGATGTGGCTTGTTTTCTTTCCTGTTCATTTCTGTTCTCTTTCTTTTCCACAGCCCTGCCAGCAATCCTGTCCCAGCTCAGACAGCCCAGCCTGCCTGCCTCTCCATCCATGCAGTATGCATACACATACGCGCACCTTCCTGCCCGCATCCAGCTCTCCTGTCAGAGGATTCTGTCTTTGAACTGAACAAAGCCCTCACAAGCCATGCTATGAGTTGAGTCGCTTACCTCTGTCTCGGGAGGAGTTTATCTCCCTTGACAAGGTTTTGTCTGGTGTTAGCAGCGGGGCTGATGACAGGCTGTGCATGCAGCAGCATGTGACCCCGGCTCCTGGCCTCGGCGCAGGCAGTCGTCAGAGCTGTCACGCAGTCAGAACAAGTTAATTCAATGCGTGAAGGGTGAGGTGCGAGCTGTAATAATATCAGGCCTCTGGAGAGGGTGCTGTCATACAGCGTGTACTGGCGGCTGCCCCAGCTGCTGCCTCTCGCCTACAAGGATGCAAGCTGACAGGCAGCAGGTTTATTTGCCCGGAGTTGGACGGGGAGCACGCGTGTTAATTTTCTGTCCGTTTGGCAGAGCTGGTGATACCACTCACTGCATGCCTCTCACCTGGCAAGAGCGCCTGAGGAAGCAGGACATGCTTGACGTGGTGGCTGAGGGGCTGAGGTGGCCAGGGCCCTGGTCTGCTGTGGCTCGCGGGCTGGGCCTCTGCCCAGTTTTCATGCTCTGCTCCTTTTCCCTCATGCAGACTACTCTGGCTTTATAATCTGCTCTTCCTTTTCTGACAGGAGGCTGGTGTTTTTGGGGGCTAGCTGCCTTTAAAAGTTTCTGGGTAGTTGGCCCTCTTTGCTTGTGTTGATGCGTACTGCATATGTATACCAACTGTATATCTATACACACATAGTTTCTTGAGTATTTTCAGCTCTGCATCAGGCAAAGTGAAGCAGACTCTGCCTGTAAAGTGTATGTCATGTCATAATTAAAAGAAGACTAATAATCTGTTTCAGGACAGTGAAATTTCTCTTCGTTGCCAGACATGAGAGGCCTTTACTGGGGTGGGCAGCCAAGCTCCATTACAGATGCTTTCTCACTCCCCCTCCTCAACGAGACAGAGGGAGAAAATAAGATGGAAAGGGCTCAAGGGTTGAGGTAAGGACAGAGAGATTGCTCAACAGTTATCATGATGGGCAAAATAGACTCAGAGTAGGGACTCAAACTGGTCAATTTCTGTATGGTTATAAACATCCAGATGTGATAAACACAACAGCAAGACTTTGTTACATTCAACTCAGAACATATGAAAGTGATGGGATACAACAAAAATAAGGAAAAAAAATCCCTCTGTTTATTCCCTCCTACACTCTTTCTCAAAATACACTTAATTGAGGAGTACAGCAAGAAAACTAGGACTGCTGCCAAAAAAGTAAAAAAACTGCTACCAGCCTAACTGGCTTCAGCCAGGTGAGAGTGAGAAGGTCGTTGAAGATATTATACTCACAGAAACAGACAGAGCTCTGTCTGTTAGCTTGGATATGAGTTAGGGAAAACTCTGATCCTTACCTGAAGATGTACCTGCATCTCCTGTTCTGCAATGTCCTGTATAAACTAAACCAGAAAAAAGCCCTCTTATGGGATAAATAATATCTTGTCTACATAGCCAAGCAGTCTCTTTTATGGAATAAGCTGTTCTATAGTTGATAGATTTCACTCCAGAAAAAAAAAGTTGCTTTAATTGAACTCTTAATTGTTAATTTGTGGCCTGGGTGAGGCTGTGGGAAAGAAAAAAAAAATGGGAAAAATCCATGGGGAAAAAATACTGTCTTGAGTTCATTGTCCTTTATTTTGGCAATGCTTGACTGGTTAAAAGAGAGAGAGGATGAAGAAAAGCCATTGGTTCTCTTGAGTAAAATGACTGAATTTAGATGAATTGGGTTTAGGATCCACAAGTCTAGGGCTGATTCTAGAAAATATATTTAGAAATGTAGACAAAACCCAGTGTTTTAGAAAATGCAGACTGGGAGTTGACTCACTACAGCTGAATTCTACAGTGGGTTAGGAACAAAGGGAAGGAAATGCCTTTTCATACAACATTAATTAAAACTGTGAACTTTTTGCTGTAAGATGGTGTTGAAACCAAAGTTAAAATGAGTCACAAAAGGGTAGGATGCTGATAGCTAACTAGTATGCAGAACTGCCACAGCTAATGATAGTGCATTCTTCAGAGGAATTATTAAACTGAGCTTTTCCCAGTTCCAATCTCAAGCAGCTGAAGAATATGGCATACATGTACATTACATTTAGTACTGCTAAGAATCAGAAGCAGGATAACAGATTATATGGACCATTATTTCTGGCCCAGTAAGATAACACAGGCCCTAAATGAATTAAAATGCCTTTGTATGGGAGCATTGCATTCAGGCTGTGAGGTTTTGGTTGCTTCCTGAAAGCAAACTGTTAAATTTTTGTCATTCAGCTGGATGCCAGGACCTTGCCACTGCCCTGGTTTCCAGGGCTCTTGATTCTTACACTTGAAATGACATTTTAAGCAAACCATCCAGTATGAGTCCAAGGCCTTTTCTTTTCAGAGTGGACTTGGAGTCCATCACTCTGTGTGTATATATATTCATAAATAAAGAAATATATACATAAATGTATATATAAATATATATTATTAGAATATCATAACATTATTTATTTATAGTATATATTTTAAAAATATATATTTTTAAATATATATATAACTATATATAAATGTATGTATATACATGTATAAATAAATACACACACACACACAAATATATATCTACATGTAAAGTTTTTCCTTAAAGGTCCCCATCTTGCACTTACCAACACTGAATTTCAATTGCCACCAAATTTGCCTAGTATGAGGTGTTTGGTAACTGAGTATTTCTTAAACAGGATCACAAGCTATCCAGTATAGACAAACATTACTGGTGGTCAAAACACAAATTTTGCTTGTGGTAGTAGCTAGATCCCAAACTTGTTTGCATATTTTTAGAGATGGAGAGCATGGATCAAGAAAGCCGCCAGAAGGGAAACAGAAGGAGTTTCATAAAAGAACTTACCTCAGAGATGGCTAGTGTTGTACCAACTTTACAAATAGTATCATTTTAAATATGATTGTATTCTACTAAATATATTTGTTGGCTGTTTGGTAAATTTGTATTTTTATGATTCCTTACCATTGGCATATGATAAAAAGCATGTGCGTTATCCCATGAAATGTCAATCTCCTAGCATGACAGCTGGAATGGATCCCAGCTGTGATTATATATTAGATGTTTACAGAGAAGAATGGTTTTATTCGAGTAAAGGAGTTCAACTGCTCCTTGTGTGAGACTTTTTAAAAATTTGGAATAATCATATGTTAGGTCTTACTGTGCAGTATGTTCTTAACCTATTTATCCATCTTTATAAAGCAGAACACTGAAATAGTTAATGTGTTTATACCATTTGAAACTTATACTTTGGCAATACTCACTTAATAAGGGATTTGAAATCCCTTGAAATATCCCAGTTTGTGTGGTGTGGCTTGTGTAGTGAGACCTAACCTAAAATCATTCAGTGCACTGCACACATATAAGATGTACTGGACTAGAGGGCCATGTAATATTGATGCTTAAATGACGTACATTTTAGGATCTTTTGGTAAGTGGTTGGTCTATGAATTTCATTGTCTTGAGAGAAGTCTATAAAGTAGAAATGAGCTCATTGTGTGCTGCTCTTCAGTAAGGTGTACTGGGAAGAATAGCAATGTGATGAAGTACTGATTTGCTCTGTTTTTTTTTTTTTTTTTTTTTTTTAAATTGATACAGTTGTATTGTCAGTTTCCCTCAGCTTTCTAGTCCTTTCAACAAGAGATGTCGCAGAAATTATTTGCATTTATGATAGGGGTTTCAGTCCTGCAGGTTTTTGCTGACTGACTGTAAAGCACTAAAACAGGTACTCAGTTTAGTACCTGTTATTTGTACCTGTGTGTCTCTCCTCATACAATGTGGTTCAGGTTTGTTTGGTGTAAAGTCAGTGCATTTGTTTCTTGATTTCCCCCACTGTTTGATGAGGGCATGTTCACCTGCATCAGGGATGAGCTGATCAGCTGTGGACAGATGGCAGGTCTGTCAGCCCCGTGAGCAGCTGCCTCTGCTGACAAAGATGCTCTGTGTCTTCTCAGCTGAAAGAACAGGAGAGGGCTGGGAAACCTATTGAATATTTCATCTGATATGAAGTGATTTTACAACTTACTTATGGTGATTAAATTAAATTGATTCTCTTCATATATATTTTATTCCTTACTTAACTATTTCTTTTCTTGGAGTAGAACGGTCTTACTTTCTTCTCCCTCTGGCTCTTAAACACAAGCACTACCCTCTTCATACTCCTTCAAAGACATACACAGGGACTTTGACTCAGGTCTTTCTTTTCTTGAGAGGGAAAAGGTCATATAATTTTGGGTGATGTGACAGTATATCCTGGCTATTAGATGTTTAGTCATTGCCAAAGATGTGTGAGTAGTTGTAGGTTTTTTTTTTTTTTTTTTTTTTTTTTTTTTTTTTTTTTTTTTTTGTAGCCCCCAGAGATGCAGAAAGCGCTCTTAAGGTGTGGTGGTGATCTGAATAAAAATGCTCTGACACTTGCTCACTACTGCCTTGTCAGTGTAGATAAAGTTTCAGCTGATCAAAACACCCCTGCAGGCAAGAACAAGACAGCTTTTCTCTCCAGTCTGCTGCTGAAAAGACTTAGACTGGGAGTCAGTAAATTAACACCAGCTATTACCAGGTTGAGAGGTTTTGTTTTAGCACTTAGCTAATTCTGTAGTCATGTAGTTTGGACTCCAGACGGGAGGTTGGTGGTGAAATCTTCCACGTGGCTTGTCACTGGGCTGCCCTTAACCATATGCAGAACGTACTTATGGAGACAGAAAATTGGGTTTAGCAAAACTGTTCACCTTCAATACTCCTGGTGCTAGCCGTTTGAAAGTAAAAGGTCATGCATTATCAGACCAGTCAGCTGTTAAATGTGACCCCACAGCAATCAATCAGCCAGTGCCAATTGCCTAACACACTCCTCTTGATCTCCATGTTGGGGATGGATAGGATTGTTCAGCATACAAAATATGGCTATGCCTTTCACAGCAATGTTTCTGCTGTAATTCAGGAACCCTTGAACATTTTGGTGTCTGTCAGCTGTGCAGGAGGAACAAATGTAATATCAGCTTATGCTGTGTGAAAAGGCAGTGCTTGTGGACAGTCAGAGGCTGAGGTGTTGGCTTAGGTCACAGCCTGTCTTCACACACTGGCTAGAAGGAAATGGCACCATCCCTACTTGGATGGAGAATAGAATAAAAGAGAGGAAAATAAGGATTGTGTTATCTCCTTCCCTGAGATGGGAGAAATAAAATATGTTCATCTCCTGGTTACCTGGAGTGTTGAAGACCACCATGTTCTAGTCTGAAATGAGTTGAAGGGTACAATGGTTTGGCAAGGAATACAGTACAGAAATGAGAAACTGAAAGGTTTCCTGAGGAGGCAGTCATGAAGAGTCCTGAGGAGGAGGGCTGGAACTCTGAGATGCCAAACTCTGAGACAATTCAAGGGAATATACGCTGGCATGATTGGAGCAAGGAGACACAAGAGTAAAAGACTGTAATGGTTGTCTGGAGAGACTAATAGGGAAAAAAGTGATTCATTGAGCCAAGACAACAGTCCTCCCAAATCATTCTTCATTCCTATGAAAATGTGAGAGAAGAATTTGTCTTGTCACATATTTTTTAGTATTACAGTGATTTACATTGGAGTGTAGTTGCCATTTGGATAGCTAAAGGTCAGACTGTGAAAAGCAGTAATGGGAGAAACCTAAGACAGAGCCAGGTACTTTTGTTGCAATCCTGTGTATTTGAACAGAAAAGTTCTGTTTCCCTCAGTACAGTAGGAACAGAACAGCAGGAGACAGTTTATTCGCTTGCAGCTTTGTCACCTTTCTCTCCATAGTTTGCCCCCAAATCCTGCTTTTTTTTTTTTTTTTTTTTGGTCAGCTTTTTCTCAGTATTACATTGCTATTGCTACTCTGGCTGTGTCTAATGATTTGGCTTTCTTGCTGTCTCTCCCTGGTCTTTTGTCATGTCTTTTACAGACACACAAACCTTTGAAAGTAATACCCAGAGAACCACTTTTACCCATGGAGCAAGCTGGAAGTAAAAAGTTCATGCATACAGAGATTTATCAAAACCTCTTCCATTCCGTTCAACAAAGCATAAGATTTTGTGATCCAGGCTTGCTTCTTGCTTCTTTTTCAGACTTATTGTGCAGCCTCAGGCAGGATGCTCAGTCTGGCCGTTGCAGTTTCCCCACTTCTGACGGCCAATAAGGGGTGAGGTGGCATAAGTTCATAAAGTCTGCAGAGAGCTTTGAGA